AGAGATCGTCAACAATTATTGTGGATTATTTTATTAGAATTATAGCAATCGAAAATGGTTATTATTGCTATGCAGTTTAGATATGTATTTTATGTAGACGAGACCAGTCAATTATGACTTTGCTGTTACTACCAAGTATTTATTCTTAGTTACAATGATACATGTCAGCATTTTATTAAATAACTAGCTACTCTCACGCGGTTTCACCCGCTGCTCGGCTCCATTTGATCGTAGCGTGATGTTTTATAGCGTATAGCACTCAGGAACATTGTAGCTATTATAAATTAAAGATAAAAAAATGTGAAAGTGGGATTGTTTGTTACGCTTTTACACAAAAACTAGTTGGTCAGTTATCATGAAACTTTGTACAAATATTCTCAAAGATGCTATAAATATTATATTTATTCTAACGTATAAATTTATTTAATAATAAAAATTTGCTGCTATTTTATAAAAATAAGCTATGATTATAATAATTTCCCTATCAAAGTACAAACATAAAAAATAAAAAATGTTATTGTCTATTAAACATGCAACTGTGACCAAATGTTTACCACCCCTGGCCTGCAGCGATCTTGTTTACATTATCTCGAACTAAATTATTCCAGGGTGATACACTGTACTATCAGACTAACATACGCTGCATTTATGTGCACCCTGTATTTAGGTCCAGTCAGCTGACCTGTTTGTTTATACAAGGTGTTAATATTGATGTAATTGGGGTATTTTGAGAAGTAATAGTTTGAAAAGTTGGTAAGTTCTTGTTGTAAACTACAACTACACGTTGCTCAAACAAAAGGTAAAAATTCGTGTTATTTTTACTTCATTTTTCACAATATTACATCATGATGAAAAATGATAATCTCTGTGTCTTTGTCTTTCCATTCGCAATAATACTCAAAACCGAATGAACTAATTTTGAAACCGTTTGCACCGCGGATTAATAAATACTTAAATATTTTAATATTAATATATAATAAAAAATATACATAAATAATTCATAAGTTAAGATATTTAAGGTTTTATACATATTATAGGATTTAGGTAATTCATTTCATCATTAGATAGAAGTCCGATGAAATTGCATGAAATGTAATGAACTATCGGCTTCATCTAGTTTTTTTTACATACAATTTAGACGTGTAAAAGTATTTTATGGCCTATTTACAAAAATAAATTTATTGTTTTACAGCTTTGGTCAACACTCAATCAATTTGAGTGAGAGAGAGTCATTGAAAGAGAAGTCCTGAAAAAGTTTTACTGGCCTGTAACTAGAACAAGAAATTAAAACGATCTCCGTGTAGGCGGGGTGCGTATACGCTCAATGTGAGTGCTACGTCATCAGCGAATTCCATAATTTATTTCTGTCTCATGTACACGTTATATTATTACAAAACATGATGTAACAATAATTCGTTTGGAATTAATTCAAGGATACATAGAAATGTAGGTTGAAAAATATTGTGTCCCTTTCTGTTTTACTTCAGCAAAAAGAGACAAGAAGATTTACAGATTTCATAGATAGATTACCCCAGTTATATAGCCATATTTTATGCTTTCATAGGATCGGAAAATATAAGAACTAAAGACACAAAATCTCTGAGCCTTAAAGGTCCTTGTGCCATGAACGACACAATAAGTATGTCGGTGTCCTATCATTTAACCCATAACTCCCTTGTAGGCCACCAACGTAGGTATTTCTAACTCCTTGGTGTTGCGGTCTCCTGTGGGTGTCCGATTTGACCATCAGGTTATTCTTCTACTCGTTTTTTGCCTTATACCATAAACCAGAAAATGCAACCCTATGATCAATGCTGCAGATACGAGAATTCTTCTAACGCCGTAATTGATACTCCTTTAAACATATTAATGATTTAACATTATAAAAGCCACGTTTATTTGAACAAGATATTCATTAGTGAACACTGTACACTCATCTTCCTGCCCTTGTCCCGTTTTATTTGGGGTCGGCGCAATATGTTTTTTTTCTTCCATTCTGTCCTGTCACTCGTCACGCTATCGCTAACTCCTCTGTCTTCCATATCACTTCTCACACAATGTACACTGTACACAACACTGTACATTCTGAACAGTAATAATGCAGAATCGACCGCGAAGTTTTGTAATTGCCGGCTAACTACTAGGAATATCCTACTATACTCGTAGGGTATCCTACTGTAAATATTATGCACTTAAGTCCTTTTTACTTTTGTGCCGTGTGAAATAGAAACCGTTATATTCTAATAAAATGGACTTGAAATTTCTGAAATGTCAAAGCGATATGGCTGTTTCATTACATTACCGGTTAAGTACGTTTTTACGCTTTTGTTAGCAATGAAAACGAAAGGATATAAATTCTCACAACTTTCTACCTAGCTGTCCAATATAAATTATAAGAGAGAGAACTTCTGGAAACGATTGTCAATAAAGACTCCGAGAAGCCGACATGAATGCTTGGCATAACTTTCATTTCAAAAGCATCGTCCCAATTAGCAGTCACCGTATGATCTGGTTAGCTCTGCCCCACAAACAGCAGGAAGAGTCGTAAAGTTTTATCGATATGTGGTACGTGCCAAAAGCATGGTGGTTCCAGGTACCGTTATGGGAGCGAGCCAACTGATGGTGGCGTCAGCTTCCTCATACTGGGCGTCAGTGTTTGGGATACAGTTTCATGACGTCATGCTTTCCTGATACCTCGAAAGCGTCGACATCGCGTTTCCTTAAATAAATAAACAGAGACACACCCCCGTGCTTGTTTGAGCCAAACTGATCCCACGGACAGACGTCAGACCAATGAATTGATATCGAAACTGTCAGTAACTAGAGCTACAACCAAATATGATCTCTAACTCTTTATGACAAAGAACTTGAAATAATCTGTCTTAAGTTTCTAGAAGACAGTAATGGGTTTAGCACGCCTAGTTTATATTATTTTCATACTTATATTTTTATATGAATATCGCAACATCTATCAGAAGGTCAGTGCAAAAAAAAATGCAGAATTGCAGGATGTGAAAAATTATTAACCATTTATGGTTTCAAAATGGCGAGAAAGAAAAATAAGTCGCTGTAAAACTAAATAGCGGACTTGCTCGGTATTACCATTATAACCAAGCCTAAACATAAAGTTGTTCGAAGGTTATAAAAATACACATTAGCATGCATGACGAATGATTTTAATCATTTCTACATTAAAATGATGAAGAGATTATGTTGAAGGAATGATTAACTTTTATAAACAACTTCTGATAATAATATTTTTATGGTTATTGCGATTGTGAGCTTGTGAACAGTAAATGTCAACTGTGTCCGTTATTTTTAATTGCGTACTGACGATTAGCTCTGAATTAAGTGTAGGCACTTGACTTTGCCTCCGTAATGGATTAAGTACAACGGTATCTTTTGTTTTTGGGGTCTTCCAGATTGGGGTCATTTCGGTACTATGTTAATGAGATTCGGTTAAATATCAGTTCGTATGGCGACGTCTAGGTCCATTCTTTCGCCTTTTAACCTCTCTGGCTACAAGATTTATGTATTAAGAGAATTTGGGGGTAAAATATTTAAGCATAAACAAGATAAGAAGACGTCGACAGCACGGATAAGGCGGTGCATTTTCTGTCTTGGTAGGGAAGTTCTTGTCGACAAACGCGCACCCACGACACAAAAGAAAATCTTAATGCAAGAAACCGTTTTTTTAAGCCTTGTTGGCACTTGGAAATTTCGTTTTAGAAACAGATACTCGAATTAATATTCGATCTTTTTGGAGTTTAGTATTTGTTTCAAAGAGCGTAATAAGCCTCTTTATTAGTCTACATTTTATGAGGTTGTGTTATTTTTTACGTTAAACATATATATCATGTTCTTCGTACATTGCTTTAATAATGATAATTACAAGTAAACTCGACTTATTCTCAAGAATAATTGCGATTACGTAATATTTATACATATTGTAATCGTCAATGATTATCGGTGCACGCAAACTACTACGAGTATTAAACTTCATAATGTGTTCTTCGTAACTGGCCTAGAATAAAATTTATTGACCTACTGAGAATTTTTATTAGATCCACTTATTTGCGGCCAGTAATTTGCTTAAAACCTTCTTATTACCATCCTACTTGAATGTAAAGTTCAACGAGATTATTCATTTATTTAAATATACGGTGATATAGACGCTCCTAAATATATTTAAATTGAAATAGGTACGTTCTTCAGTACTGACTTAATATGTCTTCTAAATTCTACGACAAATCTTATTCAATTTTTTCTCTGTGTTAAGGGCTGTTTCGTTACCTTCATTTAAAGCTAAAGTTATGTTGCAAATATTTTAAACAAAATAACTTCTATATTTAAATTTATCTACTATAGATATAGTTGCTGTTCGGACATTGTGAAATAGCCCTTAACACACATTACATACGGTTGTGATGCTATAAGTTTAAGCTTAATCTTAGTAGTTATTTTACATACAAACGCCATCATAATGACAAGGTTGAGCTTTAAATAATTTACAAGTAAGGCGGTTACGCACTTTAAAAAGGCCACAGAACGATGACGTCACAAAATGGCGCCTCGAATTCTCGAGAAAATCCCACATGATACATCAAACTAAATATCTCTTCGAGCCTGACACACGTCACGTATCACGGAACGATACATGAACGTAGAAACTATGTTTTCTTTGAAAATCGTAATCCGCCTACACATGAATGCGGCTCATACTATTTTCACGGACATTACTCATTGAAACTACTGACCTTCGCAATCTAATTGAAATACATAAAATATAACTAGGTATAGTCTATAGAATGATGTGGCGTACGGCGTGAGAAACAGCGGTTTGAATCACTCAGTTTTTATATCTTTGAATACTATTTTTTATTTTTAACCCCCGACGGGAAAAGAGGGCTGTTATAACTTTGACGTGCCTATCTGTCTGTGGCATCCTGAAGCCTGAACAAATGAAGAGATTTCAATTTAGTTTTTATTTTTTATTAAAGGTGACTTACGTGCGTGTGTTCTTAGACATGTTTGACGAAAATCGGTTGAGCCGTTTAGAAGTTATGGGGGGTGAGTGGGGAAGGGTAACCGAAGGTCTGTAAATATACTCGAGAGGGGTCTCAATGAAAGAGAATATATGATGACTTAATCGAGAGAAAATGATATAAAACTATGAAAAGTATAAAATAAAAAAATAGACCCCCGACAAAATAGAAATATGTAGTAGATAATAAAATATTTGGATCGGTCCCCCAACGCCACGTTTTTATTTCATTATTACTTTTTAAATATTAGATTTTTTGTCGGGGGTTTTTAAATTTTATAATTATTAAATAACAATATGCAACAGGATAACTTAATTAACGTTATGTTGGTACTTGAATGGTCAATAAAACTGTTTTGTTTTGTTTCCAGGTATGTCCATCTTTATCAACTTGATGCTGTTGAGGTAACGTAAAAAGAATCATATGATAAAAAGTGTGGGAGAGCCATGTATCGGCATTAAATAGGTCAGTCAGTAGTGATAACACGGCCTCACATAAATACTGCTTGAAACAACCATGGTGTTGTGTTCCGTCGTATAAGTGAGGTTACAGGAAGATCGATCCTTCCCCTCCCCCAATCTCTAAATTCCAAAAGCTTAGCAACGCACTCCTAACTCCTCTGTTGTTGCGGGTGTCCATCGGCGGCGCTGATTGCTTACCATCACGAGTAATCTGTCTTTTCGTTTGCAGTTCTATCATATAAAAAAAGTAATAAGATATTTTATACAGTTCAAACATTCGATCAAAGAAAAATAGTATCGATATTTTTCAATAAAAGTAATAAATCATTTTTATTATAACCGAAATAGCCGTTACATTAACAGTTTCCTAACAAAACAATACCATAAACTAAGTTTACCCAATAATACACGAAATAAAAGAACAAACGATGGCAATTCGCCCATCTTAGTAAATATTTGCTGGAGACTTCCTATTCGCAATCACGATAGAAACATTGCCAAAGTATAAAAGACAGGAACTGTTGTGTCGAGAGCTTTAGTAGTGCCAAGTGAACAAAACTTTCTTGAAATATTTGTTATACTAGATACAACTGGCACGTATGTATCGACCAGTGCTTCAGCGTGCATGCAAGAACCAACATCTCAATTTACTTAAAAAAATATTTTAGAAGAAAGACAGTGTTTATTCTGTCTTGTTTCTATCTATCTATTGTTCCTGTTCTTATCTTCCATAGCATAAAATAGTCCATAGAAACAACAGGTTCATCAACACTATCAATATCGATTCCATGAACGCTTGTCACCAAGTCATCAACAATTCATTTCTTAGCTATTATTGGTACATTTATCTCACAGTTGTACTCAGAACGTGTCACATTCTTGACTTGTCCGATTGAGATCAATTCAATGGTGACATCATCAGCCGGTGCTTGCTCAACACCTATTAGTGCAGACATTGCTTTTCCAATTGCCACTGTGGGGACATATTCATACGCAATATACTTGATATCACCAGTATTTGCCTTTACAACTGTTAATTCAATTTTTATAGGTCTAGTAATGAAGGCCTTCGCTACGAATTTGTAGAGGTTAATTAATTCTTCGTCGAAAAATTGTCGTTGTAGTCAACTGTCGAAGATTCAAATTTGACTATGACAATTTGTTCCGCTTCCTTGTGACTTTTTTGAGGATTGATCTAGTACTGTGACTGGATCAGGTAATTTCAGGATTTCTTTTAATAATATTTAGTATGCTGTTGTAAATTTTTATTTGACTATGATGAAATGCCTTATCGTAGGCTGCATCATGGTTTCCCACCAAGCAAGGTAAAGGTCAACGCCGGGACATTGGAAATTTAAAACGTTCTAATAAGTCGGTATTATCTATATCTGTAAATTATTGTCTGTCTAATGATGGTACATTTTGATTGTTTGCTGTTATTAATTTGCCAGATGTAATAAATGCCAGTTTAAGAAATTACTAATAGCTTTGATTTTATTATTCTTCTCGTCACGTTCTGCATTCAGTATTTTGGAACTATCGAGTACAGAATCGACATTATTTAGTGTTCAGCTATTCTTGTTATCGACAATTTCAACATTTTGTGTCATTCAGGTCGCGTAAACTACAACTGTTTAAATACTTTGAGCTAATTTACCATTAATAATATTTATGCCATTAATAATAAAAAAAAATAATTTGGAGTTGACCAATATTGGTAAGAGAGTAAGAGGATATCGTAGATTTTCTCAGCCATATTTGTAGAAATGATATTGCTTTTAACAAGAAGACCTGCTTAATCCACTTTATTAATCAACGAAAGTCTCGAATTTTTCGCATTCATAGTAAGAGTGGTTTAGTTTTTATTTAGACTCGAGTGTGTTAGACATCATGTCAGTTCAACCTTTTTTGTGGAGGTAAAATCATCCAATAACTTCTCTCGCCCAGGGTATGGTGAGAGGGAGTGTCAGACTCTTACTGACTAAAACCGTTCCTTCTCCTGCTGTTGGTGGAGACCTCCGTACCTTATTGCGCTTACCCCGCAACCCCAGCTGACATCAGTTTAACCTAAGTTCTAAATTACGAATGACGCATAGACTTTCAAGATTTAGGTTGTAATCACCTCCTTAGTCTCCGATACACCTACCTCGTATGTGGTACGTAGTTCAACGAAAATACATGATGAGTGGGTTTTTTATGGTTTAGGTCGGAAAACGAGCGGACGGATTTCCTGATGGTAAGCTGTCAACGACGCCCATGGATACCCACAAAGCTATGGTTGTTTCACAGGCACAAGCCGTGTTATTACTCCGCTCGAGCATATCTATTTGTGGCAAACTTGGCTTTCCCACACTTTTCAGACAAACCAGGCCACGGTACACAGTTCCGCTTGAACTTGCAATATTCTTGAAAGATAAAGTAATGAAGCTGCTAAATAACATTTAACTGTACAATTGCAGCATAATATCGCTATAAAAATATGTCTGGCTGATAGAAGGTAATCATTTAACAAAAGATTAGATGCAATTGTTCGCGATATTGCAGAATGTAGGGTTTTCCCTTTCGTTTAACGCCGATAAAGTGTAAGGGGAATCACTGCTCTAAGATACATATTAAATTATTGATATAAAAAACTATTCTAGTATAAATATGGGAATCATACTTTAACTCCTATAGTGTTGCGGGTGTCCATGGGCAGCGCCGATTGCTTACCATCAGGTTATGCGCATGATGATTGGCGGACCGCCCCCCCTATAAAAAAATATGAACGATGTATTATGAAATTACTTTATAAATTAATTACAAGCATTCCTTCGCTTCGGATGACGTCACCGCGCACCTCAATGATTACACAGATGTGCGCCGGCGCACCGTCCCGACCCACATTCGCGACATTGGACCTATCATGGCCGATTGTATGCCAACACCATTATACTAAAGTTTTTAAACATATTTGTCACACTTACCTAACTTTATTCACCATACATAGAGAAAATGTCAAATTAAATGTGAAAAAAACTTTCACGAAAATATAGACCTTACGATAAATACAGATATTATCTAACACAAACAAAAAACGTAAAAAGATAAATAAAAACTAACAAAAACAATACTTTTGTATCCATATTAAATCCATGGTAATTCCGTTTTAAAATTTTTAGGATTCAGATAAACTTATTATTTTTGATTGAAAAAAATCCATAATCCACCTGGTTTTTACTTGGTTCGGCAGGACAAGGACAATAGATATTTGCTCATTATTACTTAATGAGAAAATCTATCATGCATAGGATAAAACTAAGTCGCTTTCTCTGTTCCTAATCTCTCTTCTGTTTTAAAGTTCAATCTTAAATGTTTAAAATTACGCAACGGATTTGATGCGGTTTTTTAATAGATAGTGTTTGAAGACGAAGGTTTATATGTACCTATAATAACATTTATTAAGTAAATAGTGGAGGATTTTTGTATGAGCCTTGCGCTGGCGTGAGACGGAAAGCTAGAGACTCTCTAGTTATATGATATTGCGATATCTGCCGCAGGGATTAAATAAAATATTAACAACGAATGTAATCTTAAAATAAATTATAAAACAATTACCTACCGGTCATCAACCCCTCCCTAAGATACATAATATTTACGATCACTATTAAGTCATTTATTAACCTGTTTCTTAATTTAAAAAAATAATAAAATCTTCTTATTGTTTCTCTTTCTTTCTTGTGGAGGATTATATATTTGTTCCTTTCCCTCCTAGATAGAGCTTATGGCATTTGATTTTAATATTGGCGATCGTCAATTCTTTGTCGTTAAATGGATCATAAAATAGATAGCTCATTATAGTCCCATATTGATATGTTAAGCGGTTATTTATTTATTTATTGTTTGCATGTGTTTGGTTTTCTCGTTTTTAATATCTTGTCTTCTTGTCTATTTTTGTTTTTCAATGAATTTTGTGTCGTCATTAAACTAGAATAGTTTTAATGTTTCTCATTTATTTTGTTATCAGTTTCATGTGATCAATGAATTCTGATTATACTAAAATAGCATTTTTAGTTCGCTCTTTGGACCTGTTATTAAATGCCAGATTTGTTTTCAAAGCATTTTTTGCTAAAATATTTAAAGGACTATTCGAAACTAATTCAAACGTTTCCAGAAATCGTATCATGAGACAGTGGTATCTACATAAAAATGTAGAAAAGAAAAATATAGAAGATATATTTTGATGTAAACAAAACAATTTGCTTATATTATTTCATCATGAGCCGGAAAACTTCCACTGCTGAACAAAAGCCTCCCCTTAGCCCTCCACGTCGAACGACAAGTTGCCTCCTGCATTCATTGGCTCCCCGCAACTCTGACGACGTCGTCGGTCCACCTATATTATTTACCACATATCAAATTCAACATATGCACTTAATCCTCAATATTAATGACATAATAAAACAACAATAAATAAAATGAATTGGCTAAACGAATATTGACATTTAGTGTTTGTTTGGACTGGTGCAATGAATTCGGCCTCGCTGTCACAGCTTAAACTAAATAAAAATAATAACTGGGCCAGCTAACGGTTAAGTGAGTTGCACCCAATATCTAATTTTATTTAGCCAAGGTCCTCTAATGATGTGCGAAGGCCAATGAATCATACTATGTATATGAATGAAATATGGAATACCAGTTGGCATCAATTTATAAGATCACCAAGGGCCCATAAATTCATTCTGCCTGTCGCTTATTGTTCGCGATTTGCCCTACTAGTACTATGTCGAAACAGTAAAAAGCTTATCTCATTCATTTGTTATTTTTCGCTTCCAAAGTAGGTAAAATTTTAATCAACCTTTAATAACTGCAGTGACGAAACATGTACAAGAAAAAATCTTTTTTTATACATGTATATGATACTCGTAGGACGGTAATGGAGCAGACGGATTACACCTGCAATAACTA